TTAAGCATATAGCAAATGAGAAATTATTCAAGAAAATCTACTAAACCTTGGTAAAGACAAGTGTTTGGACCAGAGCTCACTTCAATTCTACTCACAGTTTAGCAAGGTAGAAATTATAAACCATACTGATACAGACAAGAATACAGGAGTATATTTGTTTTCAGGTGAAAGGTCTTGCTCTAGCTCTTAGGGTATAGGTTTCAGGCCAGGAGAGTCAAGCCAAAGAAATTGGGACTATTGTCACAGCCATTCCTGAGCACTCAGCAAATAAATTAGAAAGTCAATAAAAAACAACACAAAACAAGCAAACAAACAAAAAAACCCACTTAATGTCCATGTCTATAGCACTAGAGCCCTGACTACTAGATTTTGAATAGGCAAAGAAGCAGATCATAAAACCAAGGCCCAGATCTCTCCTTAAAAGAGACTTAACTATATTTACAATAAAGTATGGAAAAGTTCAAATTGAAGGGATACTCCTCTGAAACAGTGGTGGTTGTGGTAAAAGGCAATTGAAGACTAGCAGATTCATTGTAGATAAATGCTAAACTGTAGCTGGACACAAGCAGCTCACACCTGTAACCCTCGCTTCTCAGGAGGCTGAGATCTGAGGATTGTGATTCAAAGCCAGCCCAGGCAGGAAAGTCCAGAGACTGTCACGTACAATTAACTGCCAAAGAGCTGGAAATGAAGTTGTGGCTCTAAGTGGTAGAGCACTAGCCTTAAGCACAAAATCTCAGGGACAGCACTCAGGCCCTGAGTTCAAGCCCTAGGACACAAATGGATGTGGACACGTGGATACACAGACACAGATCACACACACACACACACACACACACACACAAATGGATGTGGACACGTGGATACACAGACACAGATCACACACACACACACACACACACACACACACACACACACCTGGATTTGTTACTTTGCTGGGGAAAAAAAAACAAAAACAGAAAGTTGGCCAGGAAGATCTTTTTGAAGTTAGAATAAATTTTACATATTGACCTTGAGAAGTCTGAATTTGATTGGATCAGTTTGTGATACAACTTATGCCCTGGGAATTTATTGAAACAACATAGCAAAAAGCTTGCCTACATGTGATAAAAGACATGTAAGTAAGTCCAGTCCTACCTACTGCTATCTATGAGTGACTATGGACAGAGGAAAGGCTGTGCCTCTCAAGACAACATCAGAATCTTCATACTACTGGGGGATAAGGGTAGATAGACTCAACACCTTTTTTTAAATGTACCAAGGACTAAAATATAAATTTCTCCAGAGAAGCTATACAACGGTCAACTCATGCATGAAAAGATTTTCAATATCCTTACTCATTAGGGAAATGCAAATCATGTCCATTTTGCATACTTTCAGATGAATATAATCAAAGAAATAAAAAACAAGTACAGATGAAGATGTAGTAAAACTGAAACCCTCCTACACTGCTAGTGGTAACGTAATGGTGTATCCACTTTGGAAAATAGTTCAGCATCTTTTTAAAATGTTAAGAGTTACCACATGACCCAGAAATTCCATCTAAAAGAAATGAAATCATGCTTATTTACACAAAAACTTTTCATAAGTGTTCTCAGAAGTATACTCCTTTTAGCCAAAAAGTAGTGACACTACAAATGTCCATCAACTGCTAAATGGATAAACAACATGGTATATCTAAAATAGTAAAATAGTTGTGGGATATAAAAAGGAATGAAATAATGATACATGCTCAAACACAGATAAACCTCAAAGGCCACATTAAGTGAAAGAAACCAGACACAAAACATGACATAAATGCATCTGTGTGTAACAATGCCCAAATGTTTCAAGTCAGTGAATTTAACTTAAATTGACTATTAACTATGTTATATAGTCAATTTAAACTGTTTGCTACTAAACTGAGCTGAAATATTATTTATATAAAGGCAAAATAAACACTGACTCTCATTTAAGCGCAAATAATTCTTTAGAGATTCCCTTACGATGACACAATTTAATATAAACACACAGACACACACAGCCCTTCTGCTACACAGCTGTTATGCTGATCTGTTTCTTTTACAGTATTTCACATTGAAATGGTATACTTTCAAGTGCATAAAATTTTATGCTAGGTTCAGAAGATCATGACTGTAAACCTAGCAACACAGGAGGCAGAGATCAAGAGAATCTCAGCTGGAGACAAGTCCAGGCAAAAAGATATCAAGGCCCTACCTCAATCAATAAGCTGGATGTGATGATATATTACTATAATCATAGCTATGCAGAAGATCAAAGGTAGGAGGATTGCTGTTTAAGGTCAATCTGGGCACAAATAAGAGACTCTAAGAAATCACTAAAGAAAAAAAAAGTCATTTAAAAGACTCCATTTCTTCATTCCTAAAGCTTTCCAGCTTTATTTATAATTAACCAATATGACTTTCTAATCTGTTCACTCAAAAAACATTTGCTCAATTCAATTATCTAATTCTCTTCACATTGTTTCCTTTACCTAGGAGCCCCTTTCTAAGGTACAGTCAAACCACATGCTCATTTTGAAGACTTTTCTGACCAAGCCAATCCTCACTGACCTAATTTTGCTCCAGATTTTCTATCTGTTATCATGGATAACACTGTAACTTCAAATGTACTTATAGCTTCACATATTCCCCATCAATTTCTGATCTGCCATAGTCTCTATTCTTTCCTTAACCTTGCCTTCTCAGAGACAAACTATCAATGCTTCTGGGTCTAAAATAGCATTCCTCCTGGTAAAACACTGTAAATTGAAAACACTAGAAGTCCATAAATGAATTTCCTTATAGCTAACACACAGAGCATTAAAACTTGGCCACACATTGTACTGCAGACTGATTGTGCAGTTGCTGGGAGCTGTGGCTAGCTGTTCTGCCCAACACTGTGATCTGTTGCTAGCTAGAATAAGACATTGCTAGCTAGCTGGGAGTGTAGCTGAGTGCTACTCAGCTTGCCGAGGAAGGTCCTGAGTTCAATCCCCAGGATCAGCATCACAAAAGCAAAACCAAAGTATGGTTTCTGTTGAATGGTATCACTTCTGTATCATCATGAAGTTGAAAGATCCTAAATTGAACCATCTAAATGTTTCATCCACAGTTGCTCAAGAACTGTAAAGACCAAAAGCATTTTGGGAAATCAGTTGGAGCCTTAAGACAAAAAGGAAAATATGTACAAAGAACACCATAGAATAAGGAATATCAAGGGTAAATATCATTAATTCCTGACAACTAACTAGCTTTACAGCAGAACCTCAACTACATTTTAATGTCCCTCAATACATTTAGTGTAGCATCTTAAACACAGATGGAACCAAATAACTGCTCAATAAATAAGTGCCGTGGATGCAATTTCTCACATATATAATCAGTTGTCTCACATCTTAACAAATATCCGAAGTCTTACAGCAGGAAATGGAGATGTCAGGAAGGAAAATAAAATGATCCACTCATCAATATAAATGCTAGTACATGTTCTAATGTGCTTTTTTCAAGGTGACCTTTTACTGTTGTCTTCAAACCTGAGTATATACTAGGCATTGTTGTCTTTAAATGCTTACTGATATTTCAATGCTATGAAAGAAAATAAAAAGACAAAGATTTAAATATAGATGTATACCTCTTCCAAAAATTGGTGCCAAGATTCAAATTCCTGTATCAAGAGGTAGCAAGCATGATGTTCTGAATTCACACTCAATACTGCCAAGAAAAAGCTTCACATGACTCTGCCTCTACTAGTAGTTAATGAATACTGGAAGGACAGAGGGTATGGAGGAGACAATAAGGAGTGCTGCTTCCAAAGACCAGAGTTCTGGCAGGAGCAAGACAGAAGTCTTAGGGCTTGAACTTCTGAGAGCAACAAAGATAGCAGGTCACACATAACATACAAGCCAAAGACTGCTGAAATCTAGCTGGATCCTGACAGTAGGAAACTCAAAACAGTGAATTTAAGATCCTATCTTTCTAGGACTTGAATAGATACTTTTAACTCCACTATGTAATATTCCTCTCCCTAACCCTAAGATAATATAAACATAAAAATTTCTCATTTGTTTAGCTTTAGAAATATAATTTTTTCTCTTTCTATTTATCTTTATCTAGTAACTTGCCCTCAGCTGCTTATAGCCTAGAATGTACACATTATAATCACTCAGATCTGCCATGGAGATTTCCCTCATAGCAAAATAGTTACCTCCAAATTTATACTTCCAAGTTTGGAAGAAACTTTTTAGGCTGTAATTCCATTTGTTTAGTCTTTTTCATACTGGCTTGCAATGCTGGGACTTTCTTCAGAAAGTTCTGTTAAGTGAAGTAAGCCAGGCTCAGGAGACAAACAGCACTTTTTTGTTTTTGTTTCTCTTCTCATATGTAGAAGCTAGATCCAAAATACATGCATGACACATACACAGAATTCAATGTACTTACACACAAAAAAACTACTAAAGGAGAGTATACTTAGGGGAGGAATCCAAAGGTGTAACTCCTCTGAACAACTAATGTACTATTTATCAAAATGAATCCAGTAAATAGAAACTTGTTTTGAGTGAGCAAGTTAGGGCATAAGGATGGATGAAGGGTGACTGTATGTAGTCATTATATTCAATGTATATTATGTAAAAATGAACTATATAACTTGAGGGTAGGAGCAGGAGGGGGAAAATGAAGAATAAAGGAAGGGGTGACATTGACCAAGAAACATTGTACTCATAACCTGACTTATGGAATTATAAGCCCTTTATACATTTACTTAATAAAAAGTAAAAAAATAAATTCACTTCTTCCAGTCACAAGGTAAGTAATATGGCTCATAGGATGAGAAATCACAACAGTTTGAATGTTTATTAAGGATTACTGTACTACTGACAATTTCAGGTGTTAGTCATAATCTTCTATATACACAACTCTTATTAAATTTAAAGTGAACACCCGGGAAAACAAAGAAGTCAAACAGAAATATATGTCTACAGGAAGAGGAACACAACTTACCTCAACACAAAAAAGCTCTCCGGCTCCCTCACAGTCATTGGATGTAATTATTGGGGTATGAATGTGCACAAAACCACTGTCCTGGAAGAAAAAGAAAAACACCTTTTTCAGTGTATTTGCACATGAAACAATTCTAAGGAACAAACTGTGTTATACTATTAAAGTGGCCCTATGAGAATGTCAAATCAAATTCCTTCAAAGTCCTCCATACACACACACACACACACACAACTATTTTTTTTTTTTGAGACAAGGTCTTGCTGTGTATATCCCAGGATGGCCTCAAACTTGAGGTCATTTGGCTTTAGTATCCTAAATGTTGGGATTACAGGTGCCCACTACCATCCCCAGCCAGATGAGTGTTTTACTAGGCACAGAAGCACAAAGAATTTAAAATCTGGAAGAGTTGGACATTAATTTTTCTGAATAGAAGGAAAATGAGTGTCAGAGATTTGATGATTTTTCAAAAGTCACGTAACTTGTCTTTAGCTAAGGTATGGTTGGAATCTATATCGTTGGGTGCTCCCTGTAATGCTGTTTCTTCCTAATTCTTTAACACACTTGGTGGTTTAGCAAACACAGTCACACGCACAAACACATGCACACATAACACACACACAAACACACACATTGACTAAGGCTAATGTATAATGCAGCTGCCTATGTTGTAAAGGGAAAGCAGAGTGAACAATATGATGTTCAGTTACCTTGGAATGAAATCTCAATTGTAATGAATCATCAAAAAGGAGAAAAATTAAGGCTGTCTGATAGGGAGACTGAAGAAAAACAGCAAAGAGGCAGAAATGACTTAGAAAGTATCTGTCATTCAAACGATAGTAGAATGAATTGCTCATTGCACATGGAGAAGAGCACTTTCTTTGCCTGAGAAATATTCTGGGCAGCAGCTAGTCCATCTATCACTAAGGCGCCCAATTGCAGCCCTTCTGATCAAAAGTCTAAGACTATTTCCATTAATGAACCACAAAAGCTGGTGGTAATAGGACTGAAACAAACCATTAACTTCAAGAATATAACTCCTTTCATTTTGACTATGGTTGTAGACATGGACATGACAGAGTGAAGATCTAAAAGTAAATTTATAATACTAAGGTAGAACAGTATGTGCTTACTGTACAATTTAGCTTTGAAATAGATACAATAAATTCAATTCATATACTCATAACTCTGCCAAGTTCTGCTATCACTCATCTCTAGGCTTTATTTGAGGCCACCTAAATATGACCTTTCTGAATTCAAGAATTCTAGTTATAATACAAGATATTTAGTTAACAACTTGCTTTATCATATAGACTGGTTAAACATTCAAGCTATAAATTAAAGAGCCTCAGAAAGTATTCCAATATGGAATTAACCTGAGAGAAATGTGTGCAATGCAGAACGCAGTATAGAGAAGCAATCAATCAATAAGAAGTACAATCAATAACACTACTGCATAAAATTTTTATCACATATGAGCCAAGAATTATGGACATGAATCATTTATTTCACATGAATGTAAGTAACCTGGAATATAAGTACAGTAAACAAAGGAAGGAAGTGAAAAATCTAAAGAAAACCTTGGTTGTGAAGGGGAGATAAAAAGAGTGGAGAAAATTTAATGGCTAAATATAATTACTTAAGTAGAACTGGTCAGAAGTCATAAAAACAGCACTTGAAGTCTGAAGTAAATAACTATATGGGATTCTAAAGAAAACACAAAGATTCAGCACTGTAAATCTGATGTAAATAACTACCAGGGATTCACACAAGAAATGAGAATTATTTCTAACAATATTTTCACCTTTAATGTTGGTAACAAAACTTAACAAAGTCCATAAAATTATGGAGAACTTAAAGGAGAAAGTATAAAGGGAAAATAATAATAAAGGTAAACGGAGTCCAAAACAGAAAGTATGTATGTGTGTTGGGTAGGATGAGTTGGTGGAAGATGGGACAGCAAGATAAAATGGAAAATAAATTATAGAGAATGCAGTGTTGTCAGTATCTGCCTTAAATGGGTTATCAGCATCAGGTGCTTTTCACCATCGCAGACAAATAGGCTTCTGATACATAAATTGCCACCAAAGAAGGAGCTAAAAGTAGAAATAAATACTTCAATCGATTTTTCAGACTACACACTACCTCCAATTATCTAAATATTTTCATACACATTTTAGAACTAGGCATTTCATAAGGTTCTGAATATCCAGAATTTACAAAATTCACATACTAAGACCCATACAGCACTCCAAAGACAGATATGTACAGTGATAGGCTGTATTTTGTTTTCACATACTTGAACTATCATTAATAATCAGCATCAAAAAAATAAAAAGAAAACATTAGAGGTACTGCTAAATATAGGTGCTCCACTGGCAACTAATAGTGTTAGTAAGAGAAAAAAACAATGACAATCAAATATATATGAAGTGGGGCTGGGAAGGTGGCTCAGTGGTAGAGTGCTTGTCTTGTATGCATGAGGCCCTGGGTTCGATTCCTCAGCACCACATAAGAAAAAGAAAAAAAGCCAGAAGTGGTGCTGTGGCTCAAGTGGTAGAGTGCTAGCCTTGAGCTGAAGAGCTGAGGGATAACACTCAGGCCCAGAGTTCAGGGCCCATGACCGGACCCCCCCCCAAAAAAAAACCAAAACCAAAACCAAAAACAATAAATGCTAGGGAGTACTTGTGAAAAAAAGGAACCCTCATACTTTTGGTGGAACGGTAAATAATACACCAATTCTGGAAATCATTATGAAAGCTCCTAAAAAAAACTAAAAAGTAGACCTACCTAAGACTTTGCCATACCATTCTTGGGCATATATCCAAAGAAATCACAATCAATATATGAAGGAAATACCTGCATATCCATGTTTACTGCAGCTTTTTTTTCTCAGTAGCCAAATTATGGAATCATCGAAGGGTGACCACAAACCAAAGAATGGATAAAGAAAATATGGTACAATATACTATGGAATATTAATGGCCTTAAGGAAAAGTAAAATTATGACATTTGCAAGACAATGGCACTAGAGATCATGGCATCGAGCAAGATAAGCCAACCTCAAAAAGTGAATCTTAGTCTGTCACTGGTGGCTCATGCCTATAATCCTAGCTACTCAGGAGGCTGAGATCTGAGGATTGTGGTTCAATGCCAGCGCAGGCAGGAAAGTCCATGAGATTCACCTCCAATAAACTATTCAGAAAAAGCTGGAAATGGCTCTGTGGCTCAAGTGGTACAGGGCTAGTCTTGAGCACAAAGAGGCTCAAGGACAGAGCCCAGGCTCTGAGTTCAAGCTCCAGGACTGGCAAAAACAAAACAAAACAAAACAAATTATCACCCTGCACCAGAATCAATTCCAAATGGATCAAAGACCTCAATGTAAGACTAGATAACCTGAAAACATTACAGGAAGCGGTAGGGTTTCTTGGCATGGGTCAAAACTTTCTAGGTAAGATCCAGAACCACAACAACTCAAAGAAAGCCTAGATAAATGGGATTTCATCAAACTGAAGGTTTTTGAATGACAAAGAACACAACTAGCAAGATAAATAGAAAGTCCACAGAAGGGGAGAAGAACTTTACTAGCTATGCAACAGATAAGAGCTTCATTTCTAAAATATACTTAGAGCTCAAAAAATTAAACCCTCCAAAAACAAGTCCTCAAAGAAACAACCATCCAATTAATACATGGGCTAAACAGAGAGACTTCTCAGAAGTAAAAAGGGCCAATAGACACATGAAAGATGTTCAACATCTCTGCCCATAAAGAAATGCAAATCATTGCATTACATTGAGATCCCACCTCACCCCAGTGACAATGGCCATTATCAAGAAAACAGATGCTGGTGGCTATGCCAAAAGGGAACACTACTACATTGTTAGTGAGAATGTAAACTTGTTCAATGACTGGAAAGCAGTATGGTGATTCCTCAAAAGACTAAACACAGAGCTTCCCTATGACCCAGCAATCCCACTCCTAGGCATTTATCCAGTTTGACCACAAACCAGGCCACACTAAAGCCACCAGCACAACCATGTTTATTCAGCATTATTTACCATAGCTAGGATAGGAATCAACCCAGATGCCCCTCAGTGGATGAATGTGGTATATAATCACTATGTTATCAGAAAGACTGACATTGCCTCATTTGTCAGGAAATAGAAAGAACTGGGAAAAATTATATTAAGTGAAGCCAGACCCAAAGAAACATAGGCTGCATGGTTTCCCTCATTAATAATAATTAGAACATGCCTATAAATCTACAAGTAAACTTGATGGATAGTAAAAGACAAAAAAATTACATTTGGACATGATAAATTATACAGGACTCTAGACATTCACACAGTGAGACCAAAGGAAGATATTCTTAGGAGAGGATCACAAGGGATCAATAACTATGTGTATATGATCATATAAAATGATGTTTATCAAAATGAACTCCAAGAAATGGAAACAAGAGGTTTTTTATTTTACTTTTTGTGTTTTTGCCCTTTCTGTCACTGTTTTTGTTTTCTATACCTTTTGTCTTGCATGTAAGTTTATATGATTTGAGGGGAATGGGAAGCACAGAAACAGTGGGACAAAGGGTGAACCAATTCAACAGTGATACTCACTAGATACTTTGTCCAAAGTGAATTATACAACTGGGGTTAGGGAGACTGGTTGGGGGAAAAAAAAAAAACTGGGAGAAAATGAGGGAGGGTGAAATTGTTCAAAAAGAAATGCATTCAATACCTGACTGATGTAACTGTAACCCCTCTGCACATCACCTTTACGATAAAAATTAAAGAAATAAAAAAGTGAATATTAGATTCTTGTTCATTTATGGAACCTAGACTTAAAATAATGATGATAGTAGTAATAGTAATAATAATGATACATGAGAGTAAAAGGGAGACTATCTGGGGATCAGCAGGAGGGGGGAGAGGGACAGGAAAGAATACTGAGAAGTGAAAAGGATCATGCATATACACAAATTACCACATACAGATATAGACACTGACATATAGACACAAACACCCAGACACTCAGACACATACATATGTATGAAGACAGCATGATGAAGCCTACCAAACATGAT